TCTCTTGTATATAACTGAATACATTTACAGTGCAAAGGAGACAGGGAGAAGGATGCAAAATCTTTTCTCCTCTCTAAACAAAACTCGAGACACAATGATAATTGATGGAATAATAATATTAATTTCTATCTAATATTTAAAAATGTAACAAAAGACATTTTTATTTTGTTGACAAATCCTGGAACAAAAACAAACCCTAAATCTTTTATATTACTTTCATTGAGGATTCAATTCAAATTCCACTGAATCTAGTAGGAATCCTTATCCTAACTTCTACAGGGTATAGATTGCTTTCTTCACTGAATGCATTCTTCAATGAGAAAACTACCAAACAAAACCAACATGGTCAAGATAGACTCCTCCAAAAGAAAGAAAAAGAAGATATGCTTGAATAGTTCCTATGAAAATTAGTATTCTCAAGAAACAGCAATATTCATTTCATAGGATCACAGAAGGTTGAGTTTGGAAGGGACCTTTAGAGATCATCCAGAAAGAGGGCACACGGTCACATCCAGGCGGGTTTGAAGATCTCCATTTCAATGTCAACAAGACTATAGGCTTAAAAGAATTTTTGGAATGAGATTTCATACTGGTCATATTTATGCAGCTTCATTATTCCTTCTTTAATGGAAAATAATGTTTTAAATATTTATGTTAGATAAATTTGTTGAAGCAAAAGACAGAAAATGAAATTGACTTTGAAAAAGGAAAACAGTACTAGCAAGGTCTTTTTCAATGCATAGAAAATACATAGTCAAGGAATTTCACTTCACTCAAATATCAAAGAGACATTACTAAAACCTACCCCAGAACTTGCTTACAAAACTATATGCAGCCTTGGTGTCTCTATGGTAATTACTATATTATTATATTTTTATTTGTGCATTGCAGGGAGACTCACACAAACAAAAGAAAATAAAAAAGTGAATCTACCAAGGAAAAGCTTAAATAAAGCAAAGTTTAAACAAATATGGAAAATGTAAGCAAATCTTCTCTGAAAAGTAATCATTTCCCCCCTCCCAACTTTTTTTTTTCCCAACTACAGAAATAATAAATACAATGTTCCAAAGTATATAATAATAGTAATTTTAAAAATCATCCATCTGATTTTGGTCAAAGAAGCCTGCAAATAAAAAATGTAGAAAGAATAAGACCTGGGCAACTACAGGTGAGTCAGGCTCACCTCCAGCACTGGGAAGGTATGGAACAGCTAATGCTGGATGACATTTCTAAAGCACATAGAAGAAATGAAGATGATCAAGAGCGGTCAATATGGATTCATCAAGGGGAAATCACACCTAACCAACTTGACAGCCGTTTGTGATGGGATCACTAGCTGAGTACATGAGGGAAGAGCAGTAGATGTCGTCTACACTGACTTTAGCAAGACTTTTGATACTGCTGCCCATAAAATTCTCATAAGGCAAGAACAAGAAGAATGAACTGTGATACAGATCGAGAACTGGATGGATGGCAGAGCTTAAAGGGTTGTGATCAGTGGTGCAGTTTAATAGGAGGCCTGTAGCTAGCCTTGTCCCCCAGGTCAGTATTGGGTCCAGTCTTGTTCAACTTATTCATCAATTACCTGGACAATGGAGCAGATGCTCCCTCAGCAACTTGTTCATAATACCACATGCAGACAAGTGGTTGATATGCCAGAGGGCTGTGCTGCCACTCAGAGGAACCTCAACTGAATGGAAAAACAGGAAGAGAACAATCTCAGGAAGCTGAACTACAGCAAATACAGAGTCCTGCATTCAGGGAGGAACAGTCCCATGCTCCAGTACAGGTTGGGGGTTCATCTCCTGGAAAGCAGCTTTGCTGAGAAGGACATGGGAATCCTAGGAGGATAACAGGTTGAAAACAAGACAAACGTGTGGCCAAGAAGACCAATGATATCCTGGGCTTCATTAGGCACAGCATTGCCAAGAGGTCAAGGAAGGTGATTCTTCCTTTTTATTCAGCCCAGGCCAGTCCTCCTCCAGAATGCTGCGTTCAGTTCTGAGGTCCTCAGAGCATGAAAGGCAAAGATCAGCTGAAGCAAGACCAGCAAAGTGCTACTAGGAGAGTTAGGGTACTGGAGTAATTATCATAAGAGAAAAGACTAAGAGAACTAGGACTTTTTAGCCTGCAGAAGAGAACACAGAGTGGAGTGGCATCATATCACTGTGTCCAAGTCCTTCAAGGAAGGATGTAGTGAGAATGGGATCAGACCCTTTACAGCAGTGCCCAGGACAAAACAAGAAACAACAGGCACAAATTGAAATACAGGAAACGAGAATCACAGAATCAGAGAATAGTTGAGGTTGGAAAGGACCTCTACAGATCATCTAGTCCAACCCCCCCTGCTCAAGCAGGGACGCCTAGAGCAGATGGCACAGGGTCGCATCCAGGCAGGTTTGGAAGATCTCCAAATCACTCTTTACCCTCACCCTACTCCCGCTCAGTGTATCTCCTGTGTATTTCAGGGAAATACATGGCAAGATCACTTACAGTTTGACTTCGTGTGCCTTTTACATACCACAATACTGCTTAAGACAAATGTTATGAACACCTAAAATAATTCAAATGTAATTAAAACAAGAAAAATCAAAAAGCAATACTTTGGATTGGGCCAACATGCTCTCTTTCGTTTCTGAGATAAACTGTTGGAATCCCATAAACTGACAGAATGAGAGTTGAATCGAGAAAAACATACTAAAAATCAGTTTGAAAAAGATTTCAGGAAATGTAAAGCAAATTCAGGGCATTTCTTTGCAACCTCCAAGACATTAAAATAAAATACAAAATTCTGATAATTTTATCACTCCCAATCTGCCTTTTTAATCTTCGTTTACTCACAAGCCTACCTGCCCTATTTACTCTCAGCCCTACTCCCCCTGTCTACTCTCAGACCTACTCCATCTGTTGACCCTCAGCCCTACTCCCCCTGTTTACCCTCAGGCCTAGTCACCAGGTCTACCCTCAAGTTTACCTGCTCTGTTTACCCTCAGATCTACTCCCCCTGTTTACTCTCAGGCCTACACCTCCTGTTTACCATCAGGCCTATGCCCCCTGTCTACCCTCAGGCCTACATCCCTTGTCTACCCTCAGGCAAAGTCCCAGTGTTTACCCCCAAGCCTACCTGCTCTGTTTCCCTTCAGGCCTACTCCCTGTGTTTCTTCTCAGGCTTACCCATCCTGTTTACCCTCAGCCCTACTGCCCCTTTTACCCTCAGGCCTACCTGCCCTGCCAACCCTCAGGCCTACCTGTCCTGCCTACCCACAGGCCTACCTCGCCTGTTTACCCTCAGAAAGTGCATACATTTTTTTTTTTAATTAAGTTTAAAATCAGAATGTAAATCTAAAAATAAGACCCTGACAACTTTTGGACAAGAACATCAAGCAGTAAAATTCTACACTACCAGAGAGAAAACTAACTTCTTTTTATCAGTAAATGACAGAAGCATCTCAAATACTAATTTACTTGCCAAAAACCTCTCACTCTTCTTGCCTTTGAAGCCTGAGCAAATTTACTCAGCTGCCTCAAGAGATATCAAAATATAGCCAAGGATAATCTATTAGGATGAAAAAATACTAATTTAAATTCTTAAATTCATGATTGCTCACACTACCTAATATTTAGAAGGTGGCAATTTCACAAATCTTCTATCAACATTATATTAAGAATATGTGAACATGAGGAAAAATTTCTTTAGTGTGAGGCTGACAGAGCACTGGAGCAGGTTGCCTAGGGAGCCTGTGGAGCCTCCATCCCTGGAAATATTCCAAAGTTGTCTGGACACAGTCCTGCACAACATGCTTCAGATGACCCTGCTTCAGCAGGGGATTCTACTAGATGGTCTCCACAGGTCCCTTCCACCCTCGACCATTCTGTGATTTTGTGATACTTCCAGAATGTACATCAATATCAGCTATGTGATTTTGGTCATATTGTCGGACTCAATGTTTCAAGTGCATAAGAATACTGTCAAACACATCACAGTTGCTTTCAGTTTAAAGGCAACAGTTATGCATGTCAAAAGCAGACTAAAAAGTGCCACTTTATTCGGTTAATCTTTGGAAGTTGATTTAGTTGTGCTGTTTCAAAGTGCTGAAGAATGACATCTCTGCCAACAACACCTATATTCATTAATGAGTTAGATGGAAATAAAGGATCGTTCAACTCTTACATATTTTCTAATGTGTCTTACTAAAGAAGCTGTGCCACAGTTAGATTCCTTACTGAAAACCAAACTTTCTTTACATGCTGTTGCATTTGTAGATGAAAACAATTAAATACATGAAGGTGATAAGAAAAACTACTTTTATTGTTTGCTTTAGGGAAATTAATATATAAGTTAAAGAAAGCTCCCTTCTATGATCAATATATCAGATCCTCCAACACAAATGTAAAAAATGCCAATAAGTAACTTTGCAAAGGAGATGCATCATGGAACAAGGGTTATTCTAAAGCACTGCAGGACTGAGGCAGGAAGAAGAAAATTTGTTTTTTTTGTCCTTCTTGTGTACTCCCAGTATGAGGATGGTTTAGGAATGAATGAAAAAAAAAACCCTGCAGCTATTGCATTCTGAAACGATTAGAACATAAAACTCCTAAGGAAGGACATGGTCAGCCTCAGAATATTTTGTTGTGAATGTTAAACCAGCCGCCAAACCATTCCACCAGTTTACAGTGTACCATAAAATATTTACACAAGCTATGAACTATAAAATATTTTTACATGAACTATCAAATATTTACACTATCAACATCAGTTAAGAAAGAATGATGTGCTGTCAAGACAGTGTGACCCAGGAGTAAAAATTTTGTGGTTGCAGATTAAATAAAACCATTGCAAATCATCTGGAAACTTACAGGGAATATTAGGTTAAACAAATTACTGCTTCCTGGTCTCTTGAATGGTAAATGTAACCAGGAAAGCATAGCTTATATGGCTTTAAACTAAGTTTTACCAACAACATAAAGAAAGTTTAGGTTCACAATCAAACTGGACTGACCTCTCTGAACGTTCCTTCCAGCAAGGTGTCCAGATGTTGAAGAGGAGCAGGAGTTTTATCTTTAAATCGTGTCAGTAGTCGCCGCTCAATAGCTCTAAACTGGACAGCCCTTTCGGATAACATCTCCTTAAGCTTTTCAGCATTCAAACGTAGCTGCAATTTAAAGGTTTTCAAGAAATCAGATATATGCCCATTCCCAAAGAAATGGGAGAAGACCAATAAAATACTTGGGAGGGCATGCATTTTTTCAAATGTGATTATGCTGCCCTAGCCACTTCATACCAACATGGTTAATTTCAAATTCTTCATGAAACAACAGTAGTAAGGCCATCAGTTATCACTGAAATCACAAACAGATGTTGACAGACACAATCTGTAATAATGCACAAGAATGTCATCAAGAACCATAAATGACAACTGTAAGATTCCACCTCTCTCAGGATGGAGCAAGTTTTTTGGGGTTTTTTTGGGGGGAGTGTTTTTTTAAGAGGAGAGTTTTCATTGTCCTCTGCACGATCAAACAGGAAGGCAAAGATTATTCATATATTTCATATCTTATCTGCTAAATGTGTTCATGTCAGCAAGGATGCATTTAGATGAGCAACTAGTATTTTAAAATCTAAAGGTACTTTTTGTATTAGCACCAAGATAATTTCATTGAAACAAATGTTCAGCACTTCATTATTACAGGCTACCAAAACAGTCTATGATCAAGGACAAATTTTATTAACAACTTCACAATTAACATGATGTCAGTGAGTGAAGAACCTGTGGCTCATGAACTAATGAGTATCCCCATTTTATATTATTTGCAGAGTTCACATAAACAGCTTAGGTTTGCCAATCACAAAGACTGCTTCAAAGGCAAGACATACTCCACACGCTAAAAAATAAACAGAATTGTATCTATTCTAGCATTATCTTGGCTAGCTTCTGTATCCTGTATGCCACATCTATGCAATTTTAACCTAATTAACCTTAGTGGTGATGTACAAATGACTTTCCACTAGGGAAATTGTTAATTAGATACTCATATGTTATGTAACATACCTCAAAATGTCGATCAATTAGTTCAAAATATTCTTGCAGGGGAATCGAACCGGAAAAGGTACATGTAAAGTCTTTGCAATTTTCCTTCTTGAAATGTTCTTCAAGTCTAAGTGTGAGTTCTTTTGATATTAGCCAAAGATCTTCTAACTGATCACTCTGGATTCTGTATCGTTCTTTAAAGACAAGATTAAATACAAGACTAAATGTGTAAATTTAAGCCATACGCATTCACTATAATATACATATACATATATATATGTAAAATATATGTATATGTATAATATGTATATTTGTATAATATTTCATGGAGTTGTTAAATATATCCCAAGTCCATACTAGAGGCTTTAATAAGGGATAGTTGTTCAATGGTGTTAAAAATTAATATATATAAAATATACACCCACACACACATATATAGCACAACTATAAACTGAACTGAAAAAAAAAACCTTTAGTCAATGTTATCTGTCCCTTAAAAATCACTCAGCTTATCACATTTTAGTACATTTCAAAATATCAAAATAATGGGAAGACACTTTGTTTCTCTTCTGTTTCCATTCTATATTTACATCACTTTCCACGATTCAAAATTAACTAAATATTGGCAGGAAAACATTGCTGAAAATCCTAATAACATAGTAATGTTTCTTTTTTTTTTTTTTTTTTTTTTTTTTTTGTCAGACAGTTTCAAACACCACTGCCTTATTTTCTTTCATTATTCATCTATCAATACCTTATCCAAAAGGAAAAGCAAAAAGAAGCCATAATGAATAACAGTTGTTGAGATTGCTGATACAAAATACTCTCATTCCCACCTTCCCGTACTCTTGTTAACAAGGTTCATATTAAAATCAAATGAACAAAAAAAAATTGGAACTTTAATGTACTTTAAAATTTTCTCAACATTAGTAATACCATATTGTTTGACATTACCACTGGCATCATTCCCAGGATACACATTTCATTGAAGGGAGAATGACAAATTCTGTTTACAGTGTAACAGGAAAAAAAGCAAGTTTTGTTTAAAAACCATGTCTGTTAAAGAAAAGAACTCCATATGCTAAAGATAACATTCAACCTAATATTCATTTTTTAAAATACTATATAACGTCTAGATTTAGTTGGCTATCTCATCATATTTTACCTTAAATGATTTTTTCATATGTGAAACTACCTGATATTTTCAGATCAAATCAACATTCATTCCATTTATCATTGATGTAACTAATACATTAATGGTTTTAAATGGATAAAACTAACTTCCTCCAAAATGCATAATCAGTTTCCATACACTGGTTATTGGTCAATACAAACACAATCTAATTTTACTATTGCACAAGTAGAGCACTGCAGTCATTTGCTTCACGTGATCTCACAGCTCTTAAGAAACAGACAAATTGCATTTGGCAACTGTAGGAAACTGAGAACCTCTAGTAGTAGTACTAAGATGTGCTCTTATGCAGAAACACAATGGAAGCAATAAAAAGATATGTGGGCTTCAGCTGTTCCAGTGCTTTTGTAAGAGTGATCCAATTTATGCCAGCCTTTTTTAAAAAAGATTTCCTATAGAAAACTATAATACACTCTTTTCAGAAAATTCTCACACTAAACAGTTGGAGAATCATTAGGGTGCTAATAGGCTAGTAGGTTAAAGGCTTTAAAACTAGAGCAGGCAGCTTAAGGTAGCTTAACCCACGAGAAAAAATGATTATTTGCCCTGCTAGCAGCTTATCTGAATGAAGTCTAGAAGATTCTGTTTAGTTCTTATCAAGGAAGGCCTAATCACAATAGAAAACAATCACAAATAGCAGTCAAGACTTCTTTATACTGGAATTAAAGTGCAGAGGTTTAAAAAATGTTAGCAAACATTTAAAAAATCTCATGGGCAAACTCCATTTTAACATATTTAAAAGTCAAAGAGAACTGCAGGCTAGGCTACTTTTCAGCAGACATGCTGGCAGGTTGAAATATCTTCTTCAATTCCTACATTGTTTAAAATGAATTAATACATCTAAAAATAAATTCAAAATAGATATCATTATAGGATCCCTTTTTTGCAGGTTCAGTACTGAAACCCAACTGAACCTGGTTGGTCGTGACTGCAGACAATCCTCCCTATTGAGATGGTAAGGACTGTTGTCTGATATTGGTCACGATATGTATAGCCTCCACTCACAAAAATGTTCTCCTTATGTAATATATATATATTTTTTTTAACAAATGAATTTATAAAATTTTTATAGTTTAGGTAGACACTAGGAACTGGCCTCTATATGGAAGGTGGCATCAAAAACCTCACTTGTTTTCTAAAGGAAGGATTCCCAGACAAGAAAAATGAGTAATTATACTAACGAAAAAGAGATATTTTACATCTTCCCTTTAAAGAAAACTTCACAACTAAAGCAATGTGGGAAAGTTTACAGTAAGATCGCATGCATCATTCCTGGCTAGAGAATAAACAAACTCATGAGGAAAAGCTTGAGTGTTTTGATTGAAAAACACAAAGTTATGTCCCTACTAACAGTTAAGATACATTCATTATTTTGACAGAAATTTGTCCCTTATATAAGCATCAAATATGCATATCTAAGGCCAAGTAAATGATTTAAATTGTCATTCAAAAAGAAATAGCTATTCATAAAAGATTTAAATTCTTTAGCTTCTAGAAACTATCACTGTATGTCTAGACATTCTAAAAACTGTCTAGTTCAAATCATTTAAAATCTATTATCTATATAAACCAATATTAAAAAACAGCTACAATATTTCAACATACAAATAGCACATATACAAACTAATTAGAATGGACTTGAAGCTTAGAAGTGTAAAATGATTTCTGAAATAAAGTTCTTTAATAATTACTCTCCAGATGGTTTCTATTTTTAACCCATTTGATTGCATTAAAAAAGTATTAAATATTATCTCACAGTTTGATTTGATCAATACTATTTGATTATACTATCTCACAGTTTAAAGCTGACACCACTAATATTTATATAACCCATCATGAATTCTGAATTTTGAAAACACAGTGAGGCAGATCATTTTTATTTATATTTTAAGAATTTCACATCAACAAACCAGATTCTTATCTCTCACTTATGTTTTCATTCGTTTCACTCTGACTAAATAGTTTTCATGGAGTATTCCATCTGAACTCTGAGTAGCAGGTATGTTAGCTTTACAGTTTGTTAGTCTGCAGTATTAAATGTAGACTTTGTGGCATGGAAAATGCTAAAGCAGTTGAACTAATTTGATTCCAAAGCATGTGCCAAGAAAGACATTAGCAATTTGAGTAGTTGCACAAGGCAACTCCATAACTCTCCAAAATTGAATGCCAATTTTTTGAAGAGTACAAACACAAGTTGGTTGGAACATGATCACTTAATTCACAAACTGCTCCAATAGCAAAGACACTGAACCAGGTAACAGTATAGCTACATACATGTTTGTACATTCCATAAATTTTATAGGAAGGATATGAATATCAGCACCCTAGATTTACAAAGGTATTTAGGCATCTAAAGATATAGACAGGTATTCACTCAGATGCACTCAGATTCACTCAAAACACCTAGGTGGGTCAAATGGCAGAGGTCATGTATTTTAAGTCAAAGATTACTGAAAATCTATGGGGAGTTAGAAATACTTTCTAGATCTTTTTGAAAATTCCAATAAATAAGTACTTCCAACTATAATTTAAATACTTTTGAGGAAAGAAGAATTTTTTCCATTATTCAGAATTAAAAGTAAAAACTTGAAGAAAATACAATTTCTCTAAACACTTGTCACTGTAGCTTACTCTGAGTATGATCTTTATTTAGTTTTAAGCTTCTGACTTTCTAGCAGTATTCCTAGATAGTTAACAGAGATTGCTAGAAAATGGTTTATAAACACTTTGAAAATCTTGTGTAAATTCCTAGAGGTTAGCCTTCTACGTATGACCCATTTCTCTTTTCATGGCCCATCATCTTTTATATTTTACATTTAAATTCATACTGATATCACTTACGTGATGTTTTAGAAGCAAGAAGAGTGATTTTTGAGCCAGTTAAAAACTGAAATCCGAGAGCATTAGATTGGTCCTCTTCAGATCGGTTAGCAAAGTCTAAAAAAAAAAATCAAAGCCAGCTTGCTATAATTACACTATAATAACTTATAATATCACTAATATACACCAAACTTCAAGCAAAAGCAAGGGACTATATTAAGTTTTGCATAAGCAACCTAGGAAGAGCAATTTGAGGTAAGGAATTTCACAGGTATTTTAGTAGACACTCCCATCTGTGTCTGTTCATATATGGACAGGTAGCTGAGCCATGCTTTTGTCTTATAACACGTTGCATTTGTCTGGAAAAGGTAGTTTCTTCAGAGTTTCAGCTATATCATTAAACAGAAGTAATAAGCACTGCACAGTCTAAAAGACCATCGCTTATGATGGATGCAGTGCTGTAGCTCTCCTTTAGCTCAGATGTCTATATAAAATTTTCATTATAATGCTTAAATGGCCCCTAGATTTTTCAAGTTCTGTTTCATCTTCCCGCATACAGGACAAAAAACATCTAGCCTGCAAAAATTAACTACTTTGCAAAGCTCCTGCCTGCCCATCCTACTTTAAATTCTATGTATTGGACCACATCTGGTTAAAAAAGCTCTATTTTTAAAAGCACCACCACATTTTAAAAACTACCATAAATCACATCTCCTCACAACTCTTCTCCTAAAATAAGCCAAAAAAGAAGTGGAAGGGATACAGTTCCCATCGAAGGAGTAGAAGGGATACAATTCCCATCAAAAAGCACACCAAAAATCCAAAGTTTCTTCACAGATCACATCATAAACAGCATACTTATGTTTCTTTTCCATCACTAAAAAGAGGATATCACCTCCCTCTGGGACATCAAATCTATACTTTATGTTATATTTTCAACAATGAATCTATAAGTTAAAAACAAATGTTCTATTTTAAGATTATCTCTGAATAGAATTTCATAATCAACACATTTATTATCATTTTTCCATAACAGAAACCTCTGACAAAAATCCAGAAATGTAGGTCTTTAAAATAAAAGTTTTTAAACTTTTAACTTTTTTAACTTACCTTTAAAGTTAAATTAATATTTATGCTCAAGGGAAATGTTACACAGCACATACATATTGGAAAGAAAAAGGTATGTTTACTGTCAAAAAGATGAAAGCCAGGCTAGAAAAAACTCATGATCAGTCCTTTGATATCTCAGACTAATGTATTATTTCATCTTTTCAGAAACAGTTCATTCCACTTTAAAATGTTATATTAAATTTGTTGGCCCACACAGCTTTCATCAAGAGACTGTTCCAGGGACTGAGAAACTTCAGCATTTTTAGACTACATTTACTCACAATCACATTGTAAATGCAGTTTATTCATTTGTTCTTGTACTAACATTACCATTTAGATCAAAGATATACCCTTGAAATTTTACTGAGGGCAACTGCATTCCTTTTTCGCCTGGGTTTTGTTAAGCTAAATTACACATTTGTGTACACAAAACGGCAGTTTTATCAGAGACACATATAATATTAGCCAAGATGGGTAAATCTTCTCGAAATGTTATTCCACCATTCCACCAATATTAGTTTTGTAATTTATTTAATTACTACTTTTTGGCAAAAGTTTCCAGTTTGAGTTACTAATACATCTTCTCTTATGGACATGTTTAAAATCCTACCTGGAAAAATGGTGAGAAGGCTGACGGGAGGTTTATTGGTGTCAATAGTTAGCTTGTGGTTTGCTGTTTTTGAAGGTTGTGTTGGTAAACAAATTAACCGCAAAGGTAGCCTGAATTTACACTGTGCAACTTTTATTACTCCTAAAAAAAAAAAAAAAAAAAATACAGATTCATCTTCCATATGCATAATCTGAAAACAAGATATTTCACACTTTTCTCCTTAAACAGGTATAACAACGAAATTTTATTTTTAGGCAGTTAAGGGGAAAAAAAAACCCTACATAAAATTTTCAGTCATGATTAACTTTCCACTGAAAATTCCATGTTGTCAACACAGAACCTGAGCACAAAGTACCTTTTTTGAGGCAAGACTGGAAAGAACACAAAACAAAATCTGGATTTAATGAACAGAATTGTTAAAGAATCTGTTAAATTCTCTTTATTTGCTTAAATGCTGAATTACTTGAAGGTATATTCATTATTTATCTTTCAACTGATTACATGGTAGTGGACCAACTTGTAGTAGAGCAAATGGGTTACTTTCTTGGGTAATGGGATTTCATACCAGATGCTATTTTATTGGAATGGTGCTAACCATGTGAGAAAAGAGGAAGTTTCAACAATTATTATTTAGAAAACATTATTATTTCAATATTATTTAGAAAACATGTTTAATACAATTAGTCAGGAATTTGCATGAATACAAGTAATGCTTATCTAGAATTCCTATCAGGTTAGAAATTTCAAGGATGAAAATCCTTGGTGCTATGAAATGCGGACAGATGGCTCTTTGGAATAAAAAAGGGTAGGGGGAAGTAATTATGTTGAAGCAACGTGTAAAAATCAGTGCAAAACTAGCAGAAAGTTGAAGAAAGATCCTCAAAGCTAGGTTATCCCTGTGCTCTAAGAATTGCTGAAAAATGTATTTTTAAAAAATGTGACATTTCGTAATGATTTGTCCAACTATTTCTTCATAATCCAATAGGAAATTTTAAGACTTTTCTCATGACAATATAACAAATATCTTGCTGTTAAGCTTGGACCTATTTCAAAGACTATTGCGACATGAAAAAAATAGTAACAAGATTATCCAAAAGATTATGAAATACTTTCAAATATAAAACAGGGTGTTTTTCTTCTTGTTTCAATCTATCTTCTCCTTGATTGCCTGTTCTCAGTGTGCCTCATCATAAACCATATTTTTTCAACATTTCAGAGAAATGCTGACAGAAGGAGCAGGGGAGATTTTTGATTTACAAGAATTCAAAATAAATATAAGAAAACAAAATCAAGAAGTTACAGCAAAATTTATCACTAGAATGAAATACTCATATTCAGAAATTCTTTCAGAATGCTTCTTTGGGCCTGCTGGACTAATTTTAAATGCAAGTAAGGAAACCCAAAGCAACAGTAAAGTCTGGGAAGCCAGAACTTCCTTAGTCCTTTCCTGTTATATCTAGTAATTGATCTTGCTTCGTCTAGAGTTGTGATGCAATGCACACCATATAATTTTAACACTGTAAAAATGGAGAAGAAAACATATAAAAACTTTTTTCTTAGATTCTCTTTGTCATGTTTAGAAGTAGACTCTGTAGAATCAGTTACTCTGTAGTATAACTACTCTGAAATATGACTGAATCAGACTATCTCATAATGTTTCTATCATAGTTACAGGCTTACTATGTGCCTACCAGATGAAAGCAATAACATAATTACATGCACTGTAGTTAAGCTTCCACTTCCAAATTACTCATGCATTAATCTTAATTATGTCTATAATATGACATCTGATGTGTATGATAATGAAACCGTTAAGTTCAGAACTGCAATTTGGGGTGACAAATATTCAGAGAATTCACGCCTTTTCTGTTACTGATGAGACTGAATTTAACTAATCTAGTACACATCACACTAATCCAAACAGAAATTTTACTGGAGATAATTCTACAAAGTTCATTGTGCTCCACACAATGCAGTGCTCTTTAGCATCAATAGGTTTTAATCCTGAGTTCTTAAATCAGAGAACACAAGTCTTAATTTTCAGAATGCCACCCATAATATGTATATTTATTTTTTATATTTTTTTCTATATATTTAATAATAATTCTATGACTTTTCATGGAAAAAAATGCCACATAGTGACAGCCATTCTTGCCAAGAATAGTGTTTTGTTTGAAATAGTTCAGCCTTTACTTTCTACATAGCATTTTGAAATATCCAGAAACCCACAGGAAACGAAGGGAGGCATTAAGACAGTATCCTACTTTTTCCGCTTCTGGGTTGCTCGTAAGAGTATGAAAGATAAGTTTCAAACATATATCTATACATATACTTATGTTTAGAAGAATACTGCAAAACTGAAAAACACCCTTTTGGTTGACCCCAAAATCCATCACAAGCAACATTTTTCCCCTGAGTGTGCTAGAATTTCTACCTAACATTTTTATATCAGTAAATTATTTCCTACTGAGACTGTTGTATACCTGTACACAACCAGATTTTAAAACTATTCTCTTTTTAGCCTGCAATATGTAAGCTACCCTTCCATTCCCGTTTTGTCTTTTAATTGTAACTCTTGCAAGTATCATATCCATAACAACACCAGCTAAATTTTGTGCTGTCATTTTTAATCACACAGAAAGTAATACTTTAGCTTTGAACAAGATGCCTCAAACAGGATTTGGAATGAATAGAGGTTTATGACATTATTCTCAGAGCTACTTTTTTTCCAAACAGAGTAGCATTAACTGCAAATCTTGAAAGCTGGAAAGAAAAAGCACAATGGCATGATAATTTCTTTTAATACCATTTTTATCTTTTTTTTTCATGTTTCAGTAAGAACTTATAAGGCAGCAAAATTGTAGCTTTATTTTGGGTATCACAAATAACTTGCATTTCCAATCTCAAAGCAAAAAACACGTAACATACTGCAAACCTCCTGCATTACGTATGTCAAAGCCTATTATAATTCAGTGAAAAATGTCATAATTTCTATTTTCCTGCAAGCTTCATTCATTTTCAAATTTCTCCTACATTCATCCTTACAGCAGCATCAAGCCAAGAACAGTAGAAAAGGTTGTAGAAATAGTAGATAAATTTACAGCTCATTTCCAAATCTGTCTTGCTCTGTAAGTGTTCTCACTCTTAAAAATATTCATACTGTTTTTTTTATTCACTTACCTTCAGGATTAAGCTCTACCATTTAATCAGCAGCATAAAAGAAAAGAGAAAATTATTAATAGGTTACAAAATAAGCTAAATCAAGTCATATTTGTAAGTAGGCAAATACAAAACATAATACTAGTCAAAAAACAATCATGATGGGTCATGCAACCATTACTCAGCACCATCCAGGTCCTAACTTGTATTAATCCTTACTTTTATGAACCTACACTGTTGTACTGAAAACTAATTTGATAACAAATAATTTAAATGTAAAAAAAAAAAAAAAAAAAAAGGAAAAAAAAGGAGGAAAAAGACTCTTCAGATAAAATGAACTCATAAAAAAGCCCTTCATTTTACTATGCTAGTGTATTACTTAGGGCTTTAATTTATTACGGTCTCAAACAAGCTATGTTAGCACTGATGTTTGTGTATAACAGAGTACACACCCAACATTTGTACATTTCCCAACTGGAATTTGGGAAATTTGTGCATTTCCCAATTGAAATTATTAATTTTATTAAGATAAAATAAAATAAAATAAAATAAAATAAAATAAAATAAAATAAAATAAAATAAAATAAAATAAAATAAAATAAAATATTAACATTTATCCTTCCATATAAGTTCTTGTAATTTCCACAATTCAAAATAAGATTTTAGATGTCATGTCTCCCAGGAATTGTTTATACATTTGTTTTGCATGTAAAGACTTGAACACAATCAAGATAAGATCTATCTACTTTCCTAACCAAAAAGGAAAACCTAAAAAAATCCATCTAATATCTAAAATAAAAGCATAACTAATTTTTTCCTGAAATAAATAATAATTCATTCATTGGCAAAGGGAAAATAATCTCTAAGTTTCATATACTGATCTTCTAAACGTAAATCACAGAAGAAAAAACAGCAAAACTGGAAAGAAGATCCATACACTCAGAACCAACCTACACAGTTGCACCACAGCAGCAGTTGAAGCCACATGACTTTGTATAGGACACAAGGAGACTAAGAGACAGTATGGAAGAAATTGCATAAGCTGTTTGTGCAGGATCTCAAGAGAGGGGGAAGAATAACATTTAATTCCCTACCACATACACCTATGTCTAGCTAAAGAGGACATGATCAAGATTTACAAAAAGCACGAGTTTAAGTTGACAAATTGACAAGTACTGACAAATACTCACTAGCGCTGCTGTAGGAAAATTAAACAAATCAGCTTTCAGTTATAGATTGCAGAGTAAATCTACATACTCTAGCATGAGGGTAATTACGWTKTTTTT